TCCACCTCTGACTGTTTCTTGTCTTGAAAACCATACGGGGCTGCTGCTTGACAGCACTTCCACCAGCTCCACTTTTTGCCAGAGAGAGGCTATAACAGATTTTGGGGAGGGGGTACACTTAGCAAGTCAGATCTATTCAGATCGTAAGCCTCACAGTCTCCACAAGACTCTATGGAGAACCAAGAAACAGAGGCAGCAAGGACAGCCCAAGCTAGCGTGAGCTCATCAAATAAGTATTGTTGGCCCTGGTCAGTATTTGGATGGGAGACCACCAAACAATACCAGAGGCAGGCAAGGCAAACCATCTCGGAACAACTCCTGCTTTGAAAACCCCAAGGGGTCACCATTAGTGGGCTGTGACCTGGTGACTGCAAAAAAAATTTAAACAGAGGTAGATGGCTAAAAAGGTCTCACCAGGCAAGGGGGTGAGATCTGAGCACTTCTAGATTCCCCCCGACCAAAAATAAGGAAACTGGTGAGATGTCTACCTTAAGGGAACACAGTCCACTCTACAGTGTCCAGGAAGGACTCAGACTCCGCAGTTCCATCCTCAGATAGGGAAGTATGGGAATGGTCAGAGGAAGGAGAGGAAGTAGTATCAACAGTACAGTCTAGCCCAGGAGTGTCAAACATAAGGCCCGGGAGCCGGAACCAGTCCGTCCAGGGCTCTTATGCGGCCCGCGATCAACTGTTGCAAGGGTGGAAGTGCTGGGGGAGTGGGCAGAGCCACTCCAAATGTGGCTTCAGCATGGAAGAACAACCTCGTCTGCAGTTATCAAACATTGTGGGAGCATCTGCCCAGAGCTGCACAGCTTGTCTCTCCAGGGTGCACTGTCACTAGGCATGCAAGAAAAGACACACCCTGCATGGGGCAGAGCATGGCCAGTTATAGGGCAAAATGTTACCTCAGCCACAAGGGCGAGCAGGGCCGGCTCGCCCGCTAGGCGAACTAGGCCTTCGCCTAGAGCGCGAGCCGGCCGTTAGAGTGCGAGAGGAGAGGCAGGGGTGGCTGCCGGCAGCCTCTCCTTGCCCGCAGCCTGGCCCGAAGCAAGAAGGGTGGGGGAAGGGAACCAAGGGTAGCACTGCGCAGCCCGGGCCTGGCGGGGCTCGTGTGGCGAGGCAGGGAGCCAATCCCCGGGCCGGCCCAATCAGCGCCCCTGAGGGAAATCCCACATGTTAAACACGGGAATCCCCGGCGGGCGGCAAGGCGCTCCTCCTCCT